GCGGCCGATTCCCTGTTCCCTTAGCCTTGGGGCTTCATGGTAAGGGTTTCCTGAACCTAAATGATGGCATGACCTTCATCATCCTAAAACCTATTTAATTTATGTGTCAAATGATGGCTGCAGACCGGTCCGCTAAATAAATTGCCATCGCCCTAAACGGATTACTAAAAAACTCATAAATGGTCGGCCGTACCATAAACTTAACACTGTTCTATTGCAAATGGTTATATACTTATTTATTGCAAATGATATTGCAACGTTATATGTATCGCATAATAGAAAATTTATCGTGGCGCCACGGACAATTTTTGTAAAACTGGCGTGGTATTCAATGTGTTAATATTGGTAGCCGAGAAAGCCACACGGAAAATTCCCTCAAAGAAATACTTGCGCGAACCAAAGAAGCGTAATGTAATGTAATTCCACCGAGACGAAAGCCGTCTAACGATGGAGAGCTACATCGGATAAGAAACTCGGTATTCGCCTGGACTCCCGGCTTTTCCGTCTGAGCTCAGTTAAAAAACGCATTTCGATCCTTAAGGATCACCGCGAAGGATCACTGTCGAGTGAGCGGCCGTTGCGTAAAATTCCGTTTAGCGAGTGTAATAGTGTGGACCCGAGGGAACATAGCTACAGCCTCCGGGTGGACTTGTGGACGTCCTGACGAGATCCGGTGCTTGGGGGAATGTGAAATGGTGAGTCGCATTTCATGAACCTTCGTCGATCATTGCGAGGTGGCTCGAACGTAGGCGCGAGAGACGAATTAGATTTCGAAGAGTTCAAATTTTCACGCGTGTGGAAGCACGAGCATTTTTAGTGCATCCTATAGCTGACCACAATTCTTTGCATTATGGTCTGTACGCTTTCTGGGACCACTCTTGTTTTGCGACCAAACCAAATAATCCCGTGCTCTCAGGTCCACTAAGGTTGAACTACCCTACATGGGCTAAATAACCTGGAGACGATCAGAACTCCTGAAACCTCAACCAACAACGGATCTTCCATTACCTCGCAAAGGGAAAGAACTTTCCCAGACAAGATCCTGCGTCGTCTCACTCCGCCAGCAAAGGTTTCAATAGGCGTAGGTGGTAGAACAGCAATCGCAAGGATATTTTGACGTATCCTCTGTTGCCAAGTGCAACAGGGAAAAAAATTGGATGCGACCAGAGGCTCGCGACCATTCGTGAGATGGTCCTGCCAATAGCGTTTAGCGCGCGACAGATTCATTAGGCAAAGACCTGGTATACAGGTTGTCCCAAAATTGCCATATTTCCGAGAAATAAGGGGTTCCTGAGGTCATTTGAAGCAACTTTTTCCTTAGCGAAAATGCGATTCGCGGCATTGTTTATGAGTTATTAACGAAAAACAGTGACCAATGAGAGGCGAGGGCGCGAAGTGCGAGAGCCTGCAGCATGTGGCGTTGGTAGAAGGTCAGGACGGACTCTGGCCGCATACGAAGTATATATACAGGGTGTCCCAAAAATGTCACGCATTACGGAAATGTGGGTTAGCTGAGGTCATTCTAAGTAACTTTTTCCTTTGTGAAAATGCAATCTGCGGCTTGTGTACGAGTTATATAATATATATCACCTGTCCCGGGATGGCCCCGATCTGGCGGACTGCCAGTTTAGCTTCCGGGAGGGGCGATCGACGGTTGACGCTATCGACCGCGTCAAGTCCCTCTCGGAGAACGTCGTTGCACGGGGCGGGGTATGCTTGGCGGTATCACTAGATATCGTCAACGTATTCAACACCCTGCCCTGATCCGCTATTAAGGAGGCGTTGATAGACCACCAGGTGTCTCCCTATCTGCGAGTCGGGCGGTGGCGGTCTGTGGCCACCCAGGGTGAGAGATAACCCCCAAACTAGTCCTCGCGTAGGAGGGTTGATCGGCCGAGTCGATGGGTGTATCGGCGATGAAGGCATTATAGACCGTCAGTGCGTCGTACATGTAGTGCGAGGCCCTGATTCAGCATACGGGCTGTGGCGTGTTCTTTGTACAGCACTGTATGTGCTGTATGACTTCCGACTGGGGAACTGTTGTCACTTGTGGCTTCAGCTCCCCAGTTCACGTTAAGCGGTTTATCNGGGCCAGGCTGAAGCCCCTCTTGCGGAGATAAATTGACTTTAACACTACTCCGTCAAGAGTGCCTGGATTGGGTTGGACTCGAGGTGGCAGCGGGAGTAGCACGTTGTCTTCCCCTGTCACGATAACGAACGAGGGTAGAGCCAGACCATCGGCACGCGTCGAGAGAGCGGCTAGTATAGTCCACATAGGACCCAGGCATAGCCCATCTTAAGATTCATAACGACTACAATACATATCTGCGAGTCGTCATCGGGGACTATATGCGGGGCAGGTGGGTGGAATATCCGGACCCGAACGGGATGATGCGGAGAGAGGTGGATTGCGGCGTAGGACAGTTAGTGTCGTCGTTGTGAGTCTAAAGATGGGCTATGCCTGGGTTCTGTGTGGACTATACTAGCCGCTCTCTCGACGGGTGCCGATGGTCTGTCTCTACCCTCGTTCGTTATCGTGACAAGGGAAGACAACGTGCTACTCCCGCTGCCACCTCGAGTCCAACCCAATCCAGGCACTCTTGACGGAGTAGTGTTAAAGTCAATTTATCTCCGCAAGAGGGGCTTCAGCCTGGCCCGAGGGGACGAACCCCGAGGGGTCCGCCCAGCATGCCGTTCGAATGGCGGAGTGGACAAGTCCACATCTGCCCGTTACTCAAGTCGGACACGGGACGACTCCAAAGCTAGCGCCGCCTGATAGGAAGCGCAAGCTGGGTCCCGCGACTTGTGTGCACTAGCCCACCCTCTGTCCTTGCAATTAGAGCAGACCGGAGGTTCACTCTTCTTGCTACAGAGCGTGAAGGTATGCCCCTTTTGGGAGCAGTGACCGCACACATCCTCCTTGAATTTACAACGCTTCGAGGTATGCCCGAAGCGTTGACAACGGTAGCACCGAAGCACCTGGACGAAATCCCGTACACGACAGGAGTTCCATCCAAGGTAAACTCGGCTACCCCTCTGCTTCAGCCGCTGAAGATTCTGCGGACTGACGGCAACGACCCAGTTGGCTGTCTCCGGGGTCTTGCCAGCCATGCGGCTGACCCGAATTCCCGAAGGCACATCCTTCTGGTTCGCATCGCAGAGATTTTGCCTCCAAATACTGGAGGCAATTTCCTCCTTACCCATCCGACGCGGGACGTCGTAAACTAAAACCTCGGGGTCCCGCTTGGTAGGTAAGGAGACGGACAGGCCCGCGCTCCGGAGCTTCTTATTGCCAACGAAGGCTTGCAGGTCCTCCTTTCGGTCGGTCTCGACGACGATGCCACCGGAGTGGATGCGTCGGACCGACTTTATTCGGATCGCCTCCTTCGCTGGTTTTATGAGGGACAGAACAGTAACCTTCGTAACTTCGCTGCTCTGTCCTTTTTCCTTCGGCGGGAAGATCTTCACCACGTGCTGCGATTGTGGCCGTCTTCCCGCTTCCGGAGAAGCTCTTTTGCAGTCGACTTTGGCCACTTGGGCGTAAGTCGGCTGCGCGGCATTGCAGGCCGTCTTCGGGAGAGTTCCCTTGGACGGCCCAGGTCGCATCGCACTCATTACGGCAGGACGCGCTTTTAGGTCCGCCCTGACCGCGGCGAGTTGCCCTTCGACGAAGCTATTCCGTTGAATGAGCTCCTGGACCAACTCGTTGAGTGCCTCAACCTCGGCGAGTATCTTTGACCCGGACTCCTTATTGACTTTCGACTCGGGTCGAAAGCAAAAGGTCCGTATTTCGGACACTCGCCTAAAGGCTTCGTCTCTTACGAGATCGAGAGGCCGTACCTTTTGCCCGGAGAACGTCCCCTTCGGTCTCCTGGCCCGGTTTACTGCGGCCTTGCCGGTGGGTGCGCCCGGCTTGGCTCGCTTCGACTTTTTGGTGACGGTTTGCCAACCGTCACCAGTAGGGTCCTCGACACGCTCGGGTGCCGACTGCACCTTCACGAGTGACGTGTCTCCGACTCGTTCGATTACTCCCACGTTACCGGTGTCCGGCGTACCTTCTACCGTGGGCTCGGTTTTCACCGAGACCGCTCGCGTGGGAGTCACACATCTTTGCAAGATCACACGAGGACTGGCGATATTAATCACCTTCCCGGATCTTGTCTTTCTCACAGACGCGGGGGGATTGACAGCTGCATTTGCAGTTCCCGCGTCTGCGGCGACGGCTTCACTCCGAGTAGGAGCTGGACCCGTCGTCTTTGAACGCTTAGTAGTTTTAATTTGTTTTTCATTAAGACCCATAATGTGTCTTGGTCTTTCATCCAGTGTGCTCCCCGGCCACCACCGACCCGCACAATTTGGAACCCGTGCGGCGTACCACAGCGATCCGTTTTGGGTCCGCTCCTGTGGTGCTTCGGGTATATCGCGGTCCTTGAAAGGGCCTCCCTGCCCGACGGTGCCACCCCCGCCTGTTATGCGGACGGTACGTTCGTGGTTGCCGTCGTGACAACATTTCAGACGACCATCCGGCGAACGGAGGTTACGGTGACAGCCGTCGTCGCGAGGATTAACGATCTGGGGCTGCGAATTGCCCCTGATAAGACCGAGGCCGTCTGGTTTCACGGACGTCCTCGGTTGCGGCCACCGGCCAGATCGTGGATCCGGGTCGGAGGAGCCTGCGTCGAGGTAAGGTCAGAGATGAAGTATTTCAGACTGATCCTCGACAGCCACTGGAGCTTCAGAGCGCATATCGACCGCCTGGTTCTATAATACCGTCTATATTTGGGCGTCGTGCGGTCTATGGCCTTGTACAGCACCCCGGTTTGGGGGCCGTCAGTGATGGTCAGCCGGCGCGGCACGCAGTTGTTGGGCCGGCTACAGAGGTGGATGGCCATCCGCCTCATTAGCTTCGGTCCCGACGACTAGCATGGTCGCGGTGGCGTGCGGAGCTGTGTTTTCACGTTGGCGAATGCGTCGCCGGAGCTGTCCTGCCACATTTTAACATGTGGCGGGAGAGATGGCTCGGCAGACTCACGTACCAAGCCACGCAGGTGTTCACCGGGCGTGGCTGCTTCGGTGTCTACCCGTGTCGCATCGGTCGGGAGGCGACGACGGTGTGCCACCATTGTTGCACGGAGGACTCGGCGCTGCACACGCTGGAGGAGTGCCCCGCCTTTACAGCGCTGCGTCGAGTCCTGGTACAGAATCTTGGGGTGCATGACCTCTCGCTCTCCAGCGTAGTTGGAGCGATGCTGGAGGCCGACAGGAAATGGAAGGCGGTGGTCTCCTTCTGCGAACAAGTCATGTCGCAGAAAGAGGCCGCCGAGCGGGATCGGAAGCGTGCCGATAAGGCGATTCCAGGGGGGACCACGGGAACTCTAGAAGAACACAACCGCGGTTCCCTCTCGCCTGGCCGGCCATCTGGATGTTGATGATGACCGGCCTCGTCCCGGGAGGTGGGTATTCCCCTCCCCCCTACCTATAATCAATGTTTCAGCGGTGCGGAGGATCGCACTCCGTACCGCTCCATCCCACCGCCCGCCAGCAGAGTACTCTTTGTCTCCTGTGAGGAGAAGGGGGTGAGTTTCCCACAACCACCCACACACCGGCGACCGTAGTGCCCAGGCCGGGGGCTCTGGGTACATGCCAGCGGTCGCCGGGATGATGCGATGTGGAGTGCGATCCTCCGCACCACTGAAACATTGATTACAGGAGGGAGCATTTCCCCGGCCGAGGCCGGCTATCATCAACATCCAGATGGCCGGCCAGACGAGGGGGAACCGCGGTCGTGTTCTTCTAGAGTTCCCGTGGTCCCCCCTGGAATCGCTTGATGTGGTCCAGCGTCCCAAGGTCAGTGTGAAGGTTTTCGTGGGTTGAACCCCATACTACCCCCGTCCGTTCCGCCGAGCGAATTTCCTCCATATTAAATAAAAAAAAGGATATGTGGTGTCGTTGCAAAAATTTCAGTGGATAAAACTGGACAAAGCAGAGAACACACGTAGCGGCGTGTGCAGGAGCAAATCCCGTACCGTGCCGACTGGTGTCTCCGGGTCAATGGCAGAAATTTTGAGCAGTTTTTGACGGCATAACTCTCTTGATTTTATCGGCTCTTTTCAGGGCCACTCCATTTTAACGCAGACTCAAACGATTCGACACCCTCCCCTCCCACCACAGGATACCTCTACGATTTTGGATGATCAGTGTTTCGGATTATCAGTGACTAATTAAGCGATCAGTGTTTGGTGACAGTGCAGTGAAAGAGAACTTTGTGTTAGCCATACTTGAGGTCCCTCCGATAGTCCTCCGAGGTCCTTCCCTTCAACACTGCGGTCGTTGGCCTGGGATCAGCTGTGCATTGTATGAAGTCAGTGCACCGACATCGTGACCCACAATTTTGAACGGCAAATGTATCCTCAACTAAATGGATGAGTTTACTTTTAATGATATTCTTTACAATTCTTAAACAAACATATTCTGCATATTCTTTAACACGATTATTTATTATTCAATTAGCTTTGCGAATCGTTCGTTGAATTCTATTCCGACACGGAATTATTTAAATTAAAATATCATTTACGAACTTTGTTGATCTTCACTGCACATATTCCATAAAAATTTCATATGGTACACGTGAGGTGTCATGCACTTCAGAAAATTAAAATGGCTGTCACGATTAAACTACTTATTATTTCGGATCTAAAGAATTAGCAAATATTCTTCAGACATTGTGAAATAAAGATAAGCGGCGTTTTTCTTAAAATTATCACTATCACGTGGTAAAAAAATCGAAAGTTCATGCTTGTTGACTTGTTCATTGATTCGAACGTGGCTCGGAATCTTCCTTCAACTGTCAAACTAAGCGGTCGGCGCTCGATCGATTGACGACGTTGTGGTTCGTGACATCGCCTTTCATTGGTCAGTGTTTTTCGTTAATAACTCGTAAACAAAGCGGCAGATTGCATTTTCGCAAAGGAAAAAGTTACTTAGAATGACCTTAGCTACCCCACATTTCCGTAATGCGAGACATTTTTGGGACACCCTGTATAATCATGTTAATATAATAAATGAAGGAATTAATTTACGGTGAAAGTGTTAATGTAAATAATAAAAGTTTGATGACAATTTATTAAAATTTAATAATGATGTAAATATCAAGATTATAAAATTGATATAAATAGAGCAATAACACCTCGAAAATTATTTGGGATGATTCAAGGATTGTATAGGAAAATAAAAAGTATCACTCAAATTTAATGTGTTCCGGGGTAATTACTTGATTTGCTAGAATATAAATATCAGGATTCGATAATACGTAGGGAAATTTTATAAGAATAATAATAAATATTATAATGATTAAATAATTCCCAAAAATCTTTGATTATAAAATATGAGCTAAATATATTATTAAATAATATTTATAATTTCTTCCTAAGGGATTGTTTGAATTAAATTAATAATTACTAATAGTCAAATAATAAATGGGAAAATAAAGTGTGGAGTTTACAATTGGTTATGTGTAACGTTATTAATAGAGAATCCCCTACAAATTCGTTCTACTATATAGGGCGGATAATAAATTAGTAATAACTGTTGCTCCTCAAAATGCTATTTGTTCTCATGGAAGTACATTAGCAAAAAAGGCAGTTGCCACAGATATGATTATTACACCCACGTTTTAAACTGAAGATAATTTAAATGAATGATAATAAATATCTCGTCCAATACGAATATATACAGGATGTTCCACAATTATCTTAACAGCCGAAAATGACGGGTAGCTGAAGTTATTTGAAGTAACTTTTTCCTTCGCGAAAATGCAATCTGCGGCTTTGTTTGCGAGTTATTAACGAAAAACATTGGCCAATGAGAGGTGACGGTGCGAGAGAGAGAGAGAGAGAGAGTCCGCAGCACGAGGCTTTGACAGAAGGTCGGGACGGATTCGAGCCGCGTTCGAAGTATTGAACAAGTCACAAAGCGTGAACTTTCCAGATTTTTTTTATTACGTAAAAGTGATATTTTTATGAAAAACGCTGTTCACCTCTACTTTGGAACGTCTGAAGAATATTTACTAATTTTTCGGACTCGAAATAATGTTTAGTTTAACCGTGACAGCCGTTTTAATTTTATAGTGTGCATGACACCTCGTGTGTACCATATGAAATTTTTATGCAAGGTGTACAGTGAAGATTAACAAAGTTCGTAAATGATATTTTAATTTAAATAATTCCATGTCCGAGCAGAATTCAACGAATGATTCGCAAAGCTGATTTAATAATAAATAATCGCATTGAAGTATGTACAGGATTTGTTTATTAGAGAAATATGAAAAATATTATCGATAAGAAACGCACCCATTTAGTTGAGGATGCATTTGCTGACTCGTACGTAGTGACCTCGTACAACGAACAGCTGATCCAAGGTCAATGACCGCAACATTCGAGAGATACTGTCGGAGGAACCTCTGGTATGGTTATTTGCGAAGTTCACTTACACTGCGCTGTCACCAAACACTGATCAGTTAATTAATCACTGATAATCCGAATCACTTGTGGATACTAAGAAAGATCACTGAGACTCGTTCGTTCGGAAGTCGACGTTCCACTGCCGAAAAATTCAGGCCTTGACTGTGGGCCCTTGTTGTTTGTCGTTCGGCCGTCCCAGGAAATGATACCCGATACCATTTTCTTCGCACGGCCATTAATTATGTTCTAAGAGCGTCGGTGATAGCGGGTCGGACGCAGTTTACCTCTCGGCATATCTTGTTCATTTCATATGGCGGTAACCTGCGCTTCGAAGAAAATGGTATCGGGTGATATTTCGACGATCGACAAGAGCCCATGGTCGAGGCCTCGAATTTTTGGCAGTGAAACGTCGACTGCCGAACGAACTCGTCGAATAAATGATTATCCGCGAACGCGTCGTATAAACGATTATCTGCGAACGCGTCTCAGTCATCTTTCGTAATATCCACAAGTGTTTCGGATTATCAGTGATTAATTAAATGATCAGTGTTTGGTGACAGTGCAGTGAAAGATCAACTGTACGTTGTACGAGATCAGTGCCTTTCGACATCGTGAGCCACAGTTTCAGCCAGCAAATGCATCCTCAACTAAATGGGTGAGTTCCTTACTGATAATATTTTTCATATTTCTCTAATAAACAAATTCTTTACTTCCCTTAACGCGATTATTTATTATTAAATCAGCTTTGCGAATCATTCGTTAATCTTCACTGTACACCTTGCATACAAATTTCATATGGTACACATGAGGTGTCATGCACACCAGAAAATTAAAACGGCTGTCACGGTTAAACTACATATTATTTCGAGTCCAAAAAATTAGTAAATATTCTTCAGACGTTCTAAGGTAGACGTGAACAGCATTTTTGTTAAAAATATCACTTTTACGTAATAAAAAAAAATCCGGAAAGTTCACGCTTCGTGGCTTGTTCAACACTTCGAACGCGGCTCGAGTCCGTCTCGACCTTCTATCAAAGCCTCGTGCTGCGGACTCTCTCGCGGACCCTCTCCCTCGCACCGTCACCTCTCATTGGCCAGTGTTTTTCGTTAATAACTCATAAACAAAGCCCCACATTGCATTTTCGCAAAGAAAAAAGTTACTTCAAATGACCTCAGCCATCCCTCATTTTCGGCTGTTAAAATAATTGTGGAACACTGATCAAAAATTTCATTAATAGTTAATATTAACTGGTATTGGTAATTTCTTGAATGAATTTACTATAATATTTAGAACAGAGTTTAGATTAGATAATTTAAAAAATTTTGTATTTGTCGTAATTAATAATTTCTCATAGTGATTATTTGTATTTTATTAAACATGTGTGTGTGTGTGTGTGTGTGTGTGTGTGTGTGTGTGTGTGTGTGTGTGTGTGTGTGTG